AGTCTGATTTGATTCTAAATACAATTTATAATTATCTTAACTTTCTTATTTATAGTATTTATACCTATTATGTGCATTGTATTACTACTAAGTATTAAGTGTTTGTTTTCCATTTGAAAATGCAGACATAGATATAACATAATATTAAGTATTGACCCTCAAATAAAATAAAATTGAAATTGGTTTATCATTTTTAAACCTGTATATTAAGTATCATGAAAAGTGAATTGTTCATATCAAGGATTATGTAATGAAAGGAACAATATGGATTGTGGTCAATGATCATTTTTTTTCAAGGTTACTTTTATTTTTTTTGATCGTGAAAAATTATGTTTTCCTGGATCTTATAACCTTGCATTCTTATATTAAATATTATGATTTAATAAATTATCAAGCATGTAATATAATTATTTAAATAAAAAATAAAAGTAATTTTTTAAAGTGGTACTTTTGTTTTGAAAACTTATATTTAATTTGAATAAACAAAATCATAATAATCTACAATAATATTTATACTTATTTATAAACTTTACTAATTATCTTATATAATTACTGATATATGTTTTTTTTTTAAATTTTATTTTAGCTTACGATTGACTACACCAAATGATGGCGATGTTTTACTTGATTATTCAAAAAATCGTGTAAATGAAAAAACTTTAGATTTATTGTTTAATTTGGTAAGAAATTATATTTTACTATTATTATTTTTAATATTTACTGACTTTAAAATAAAATATGAATGTCCTTGAAATTATTTTGCTAAAGCCTATTTGTTTATTAAAATATATAAAGAACATTTAAACTTAAAGTATATTATTAATGGCTTAACAAATTTAGTTTTATAGTAGTACATATTATTCTACTGTGTGTTCAAATATTTACTTGGTACAAAGTTATTACTAAAACAAGATAAATTACAGAGTGATAAGTTAAATAAATTGATGTATGAAAAAAGTATTGTTAAAAGTTATGTAATAAATTTTAATTTTAATTGATTTAGGCAAAAGCTCGTAAAGTTGAAGAGGCTAGATCTGCTATGTTTAGTGGTGAGCGAATTAATGGAACAGAAAAACGGCCTGTATTGCATATAGCATTACGTAATCGATCTAATAAGCCAATATTAGTTGATGGTCAAAATGTAATGCTAGAAGTTAACAATGTTTTGGAGCATATGAAAGAATTCACTGAACAAGTAATATTTATACAAAATGTATCTTGAAAATTTAAAAATTTAAAAATATTTTTTGTAAAGATAATATCAAAGAAATGGGTAGGATTCACGGGAAAACCTATTGAGGATGTAGTCAATATTGGTATTGGAGGATCAGATTTGGTAAGTGTTTTTGTAAAAAAATCAAATTTTTATAAAATTAAGCTAAATAGTAAACTAATTCTTCAAGTTTTAAATTCTGAAGAAAAAAATATGTACTAAAGAATAGAGATTTCTCTTTTTGCACTTAATTGTATATACAAAAAGCTGATAATTCAAACTAATTAAATTTAAGAAGCCTGAGATGTATTTGGATTTAATATATTTTATTTTGTGTTTATTAAAGTCATAATATTTTGTTTTTGTTTAATTGTTTTAATTATTACTTATTATTTCATAATTTGCCCAAAGACCAAGAATAATAAGATAATCAAAGTGTTTTTATCTTGTATCACGTGATTTTAACTTAAATTTTCAAGGTTACAGCTTAGTTTGTTAACTATTCAGCATTCATATAATTGATTCATGCTTAAATGTTTTTGTTTAAACTTAGACAAATACTGATATTATCTTATCTTTTTAACAATAATTGGTTATTAAGGCCAATCTATAGTGGAATTGTTTCACCTTTAAATCTATGCAATGTCAATTAATTAATATATTTTAAGATATCTATTAATTAAATAAATGGTGTAAAATTTAAATTATTTATTTATTAAGGATTATATTCAGTTTACATAACTAATATTTTTACTTAAAATACATATCTAATGTTTTTTCCAGGGTCCATTAATGGTAACAGAAGCATTAAAACCTTATGCTATTGGCCCCCGTGTTCATTTTGTATCTAATATTGATGGAACTCATTTAAAAGAAGTATTGAAGAAGGTTAATCCTGAAACAGTGTTGTTTATAATTGCTAGTAAAACATTTACTACTCAAGAAACTATAACAAATGCAACATCTGCTAAGAAATGGTTTTTGGAAACTGCTAAAGATGTAAAATAATAAATACATTTTTATCACTTATAAACTAATTTTAATATCTACCATTTATTATAGGAATGCAGTGTTGCTAAACATTTTGTTGCCCTCTCTACTAATAAAGAGAAGGTGACAGAGTTTGGAATCGATAAATGCAACATGTTTGGTTTTTGGGACTGGGTTGGCGGACGTTACTCACTTTGGTCAGCTATTGGTCTTTCAATATGCTTATCTATCGGTTTTGAAAATTTTGAATCTTTATTAAGTGGTGCACATTTCATGGATCAACATTTTGTTAACACTCCATTGGAGAAAAATGTTAGTTTTTTTTTATTTATATATCACTAGCATTCATTAAACATCAATGGTTTTTTTTTATTTTTAGGCACCTGTTATTTTGGCTTTATTAGGAATCTGGTATCACAACTTCCATGGCGCTGAAACACACGCACTTCTTCCTTATGATCAGTACTTGCATAGATTTGCTGCTTACTTCCAACAAGGCGACATGGAATCTAATGGAAAATCAGTCACTTTAAATGGTACTCCGATTTCATCGTATTCTACTGGGCCCATCGTCTGGGGTGAACCTGGTACAAATGGTCAGCATGCATTTTATCAATTAATTCATCAAGGTACTCGTCTTATACCTGCTGATTTCATTGCTCCTGCTGTTACCCATAGTTGTATTAGTGGAGGAATACACCACCAGGTAGCTTAAATCTATTGAGTTTAAATTTAATTGAAACCAATATTATACTAATTATTTATTTACAGATTTTGATGGCTAATTTTTTGGCTCAAACTGAAGCACTGATGAAAGGTAAGACTCCAGATGAAGCACGTAAAGAGCTTGAAGGATCAAATTTAGACAGTGCCGAACTTGAAAAGCTAGTTGCACACAAAACATTTTCTGGAAATCGTCCAACCAACTCAATTGTATTTAAACAGATTACTCCATTTACATTGGGATTATTGATCGGTATATATAATTTTTTTATACATACCTACTATAAATGTTGAAGATATTTTTAACTTGTTAATAATTAATCAATCATTCATTTAATTTTCTTATTAATATATTTTATCTATATTTTATAGCTTTGTATGAACAAAAAATATTTGTCCAAGGTATTATTTGGGATATCAACTCATTTGACCAATGGGGGTAAGTTATTTCATTAATCATTGCATCATAAAATGTTTTGAGTAATCCATTCATGGTATCTTTTTAGTGTTGAATTGGGAAAACAGTTAGCTAAAAAAATTGAACCTGAACTTCAAACATCAAACATTATTACAAGTCACGACTCGTCTACCAATGGCCTCATCAATTTTATCAAATCCAATTGGTCATAAACCATACAGGATTAATCTCCAGTCTACTATTGTTATTATTTATTGAATCGTTTATTTAGAAGGCTGTAGTATTTATGTGGAAACAAATTATATTTTTATTATTTGTTTAATTGTTGTGTAATAAATTATTAGAATGTGATTTTAAATCACTAATATCAATTTATTGTTTAACTTATTTCTATTGCTATGTCGTAGGCCATATGAATAATTTTTTTTTGCGATAAAACTAGGCTCTTTGCAATGGGATAGCCTGTTTGCAAACTACTTATTATTTTTCAAAATAGCCTGTTTTTCAGGCTCATTGCATACAGATTAACAGTAGTTAGGCCTTTTAAAAATTACAATCATGTTATAGTAATAACTATTTAATTATTTTATTACTAGTTTTATTTTATATTAATAACCATATATAACACGTAAATTGAACTATTACATTGTATTATAGGTACATCATTTTCTTTTTGTCTTCAACTTTGCCAATAATATATTTTGAATGTCTAATAGTCCACAATCTACCTTTGGAATATTGACTAAAGTATAACTACCAACTTCAATTATAATTAATTTCTTATTGCTATTTCTGTATCATTTTTTCTGCAGTCAATATTCCAAAAGTAGATCGTGGACTATAAGACACTCAAAATAAAATATTAGCAAAGTTGAAGACAAAAAGAAAATAATGTACCTAAAATACAATATAATAGTTCAGTTTACGTGTTACATATAGTTAGTAATACAATAGTCAAATGATTATTACTATAAAATTATTGTAGTTCTTAAAAAGCCTAACTGCTGTTAGTCTGTATGCAACGAGTCTAAAAAACAGCAGGTTGTTTGGAAAAATAAAAAGTAGTTTGCAAAAAAACTACTTCATTGCAAAGAACCTAGACTTTTTGCAAAAAAAATTATTATCCATATGATTTATGTCAGTTATATTTAGCTATTATAGTTTAAACATATAAAACGTATTATTTCCAAATCTTAAGATAATTCTTTAATTTACTATTATTTTAGCCAAATAAAATAATTAAAAAGATAATATTTTGTATTAAAAGACTAAAAATAGTCCATATCTTAAGTTTAACCTCTTATTATAAAATCAACAATGTGTTAGAACTTGTTGAGATGGACCGTTTAATTAACATACATTTTATCTACAATATGGCTATTTTCTGGTCGATTTAAAAAAAAACAAAAACATTCAATTTTAAAACAGTTCCTTAATATTAATTCAACCGATTAAAAAGTACAGTATGTAATCAATTGTGACTTGGACAAAACAATTTAAATTGGAGATGTCATTCATCAATAGTATTACAAATAAATAATAACATATTACCAATATATGTATATATTATATAATATTATTAATTATGCATTAAAAACAAACAAATAATCTAGTAATCTAATATCAATGTGATTATAACAGTCTTAATAAAAATAGTTAAGATTCCAAATACTTTGAAAAAGAATTTTTCAATAAAGATTTTTTATCCACTTTACCCAACGCATTCCTGGGCACCTCATCAACAATGTAAATTACAGTTGGTACACTATATGATGGTAATACAGTTTCGGCCCAAATTTTCAAATCTTTCTTAAATTTTTTATGTTCAACATTAATAGCCTGTTCATCAATTGCAATTAAAGCACCTATTCTTTGACCCCACGTACTGTCAGGTAATCCAACCACAGCAATATCTTTAATTACTTTGTTTTGTAACATAATAGTTTCAACAAACAAAGCACTGACTTTATAACCCCCGGTTTTTATTATATCTATTGATGTTCGGCCTAATATTTGAAAACTATCATCAACATATCTAACTGAATCGCCTGAAAAACAAAATAACTTATTACTAGGATAAACAAAACACATTTATAAATAGATTTACCAGTTTTAAACCATCCATCTTCAGTAAACTCTTTTTTTGTTGATTCAGGTTTGCGCCAGTATTCCTTAAACACATTCTTCCCTTTTATTTGCAAATCCCCACTATAACCTTCTTTGCTATCATGCTTTACTGAATTAATAATTTTTATATTATTGTCATATCCTTCAAGCAAAACAGTGTCATCTTTGACGATTCGAACATTTACACCTGGTAAAGGTTGTCCAACAAAACCTATGATAACAAGTAACATAACCAATTTTTTTTTAGAAACATCTTATTCTATCTGTCATAATGCATATTAATATAGTTAAGTGTATAGTTACACCAAATTGTATTGATTTATTATAAGACATCTAAAAGTAATTACTAATTATATTCTATATAATATTATTTATAATCATAAATGTAAGATTAGTCAAAAAAGTAAGAGTACAATATTTATTATAGGCTTAGAATTGTTCATATATTTTTTTAAACATAGAAAGAGTACTAAATGTATTTAACTTGCCTTTGAGCATATTTTAAAAATGTTAGTAAATTATTAAAACAAATATTATCACCCAAGTTATGTTAAAAATATAGATATCTTTTATTATAATTCATAAAAATGTTAACCTGGTTTTCTTTCGCCATTTAAAGGATTAGAAAGAGCCATTCCAATTTCACTCATACCATATCGTTCTAGTAATTTATGACCAGTGATTTGTTCCCAACGATTGAACAGTGTACTGGGTAATGGTGCAGAGCCACTAACCATCAATCTAAAACATAATTTTTTATTTTTATTGTTTTTTTTTCAATAAGTACATTTAAGTAATATTAGTAGTTGCATATTCAACATTTATTTTTATCACATGTTGTGTTTATATTAATAATAGTATTACATTATTATTATTGATTAGTATATGATAAAAGTTAAAAATAAATACAAGTTTGATTACATAATATATACTTGCCTAATTTTTTGAGAACAAACAGCTTTGATATATTCTACCATTCTATCATTTTTCTCAAACATTTTCTCATAGTTTTCAATAAGTTTTACATACATAGTTGGCACACCCATAAACATGTTTACTCTATATCCATAGTATTGTTCTATAGCTAAGAGCCATGTCCAGACATCAGCAGCATTAAACTTTGGTAACATGACACATCTAAAAAAACATTCTCGTATATTAACATTAAAAAGCAGTTTAAGATATCAGCAATAATACCTTGCCCCTGTGTGTAATGGACACATTAGTGCATTCACAATACCGTGAATATGATTTAAAGGTAGAGCATGAAGTATAACATCTTTATTATTCCAATTCCAAGCAGTTTTTAAACAATTTATCTGAGCATTTAAATTATTATGTGTCAACAAAACACCTAAAATGGTACAAATATACAAAGTATCATGTTCAAAATTTTACATTTAATACATAACACAAGCAAAGAGTATTTTAATTTTATGCATTAATATAAGCAATTTAAATTATTAAAAATTACAGGTCTGAGAAGGCTATTATGTTTCATAATACAAATATAATTAAAAGTAAATTGAATGTTTAATTTATAAATCTTATGATCTTAATTCTTATAAATTAAATATTTAGTAAATAGAAAATTTTATTTACAAAAGAACCTTTGATACAGGAATTATATTAATGATATAATATTTAATTAAATTACCTTTAGGAGAACCGGTTGATCCAGATGTGTAAATTATCATAGCATTTGAATCAAAGAACTGCTCATCACTTATATTATTATCAGTATTTAACATTTCTACTTCATTATTTTCTTCAAATGATGTTTTACCAAGTGGTTTAAAATCCAAAGTAATATGGTCTTCAAGTAAAAGATACTTTTGATTAAATTTTTCAGCTAAAGGACGTACAATATTCTCAAACTGAGCAGTTGTTAATATCACTTTAGCATCGCTATCATTTATGAAATATTCTAACATGGAAGCAGGGTGAAGTGGACTTAAAGGAACAACTACAAACAAAAATAAAATTGACATTACATTAAAATCAAATTAAAAAAATAAAATAATGTTATTACCGATTTGTCCACTCATCCATGAAGCCCATTGAGCAACAACATAAGATGCATCATTTGGACACAAGATTGCAACACGTTCTTGGATTTCTCCATGCAAAGATTTTTCTATTATTTTTGACAATGTGACACTGCTGTTGAATATTGAAGAATAAGTGTGTTCTCCAAACTTGTCTACAATTGCAATGTTTTTCGGCCATTGTGATGCCAACCTGTATTGTAGAATTAATCATGAGTATACAAAGAAAACATAAAATAACTCGACTATAACCAATATTAGACTTTAAGTAGAAAAAATATTATAAAATAAAAATATAAATATTAAATAACCTAAATATTGGACGATTCATGCTGGGAACAGGAAAGATTTAAGAAATGTTCGGGAATGACTAACAATTTTTTTTTTTTTTTTTTTAATATTAATTGATCTATTGATAAGATCTTTTTTTTATAATGAATTATTCATTAATCATTGCACTATTATGTTAACTATTTTTTTTAGTTTAATCATTCGATATTTTAATGTATGTACTAGAGTACTGCATGTTTATTATGCAACATGATAATATATCCAATATTTTGATCTTATTATCAAACTGTAAAATTGTCTAAGTTATAATTATAAGCACAAAATATATAAATTAAATTTAACCTATTCTGTGCATTAGATGCAATAATATCATATCTACCTATATATAGGTGTTAGAGAAGTTTCATTCTTGGGTATGTTCTTGAAAGCTTCAGAAGAAAGCTGTCGAATACAACAACTGTAAAAAGGTCTATACAGCAATTTTCTGCACAACACCATTTTCTAAATATGTCAAACTTTGAATTAAATTATTGTTTTATAATTATATATTAACAATAAGTAAATATTTTTTATGACTATTACTTATTAATTTACCAATTGAATGTTGGTTACTGGTTGTTAATTAATATATACTTAAGCACAATATTGGTAGACAAGCATCATACTAAATTACTAAGATAAATTTACCAAAATAATAAAAGATCAACAGTTCAACCCCAGCAGTTCAGCAATTTCAAAAAAAAAAACACTTAACACTCTTAACAGTAACAAGAATCTGAAATTGCGGTGAAGTGAATAGTGATTACTGGTTAAACACTTAACAGTAATAAATGATAATAGGTACCCACTACTGTGATAGAGACCCACAGGCCACAAGGCTTACAAGATTTATAGATAAACCTTGAGAGACCTATAGGAAATCAAGAACTTTCATTGGCTGTATTACGTTTGTATCGTTTGTGATAACATTATAAAACTATCAATATACATTATATTGATTTTCATTATATTCTTTTTCTTTAGGACTAAGGCTAGGATCACACTATGCGTTTTGTCGGTTCCCGATCAACCGGAGCCAAACCGCAACACTCTAAAATAAAATAGGTTTAAATATAAAACGCGTTATCAGGGCCAGACTAGACCGATTTACGGAACCGATTAAAAACCGTCGGGAAGCGACCGCAACGTGTTGCGGCCCAACCGTCCAGTTGCGTTTCGGGATGTAAAGCACAACACATGCAATGCAATTTGTCCGATCACATTTGTGCGGATTATCGGTAACCGAAATTGAAAATTTTATGAATAATTAATAATCATTTTTAAATTTAAATAATTAAAAAACTTAAAATATATTTGTAATATACATATATATATATATATTATATTTTATTTATATTATAGATGTATATTATTATTTATTAGCATAATTATTAGTTACACGTTTTAAATAAAAACAAATAATTCTAATCACACAACCTTTTTATTATTTTTTACTTATAATATTAGATACATTTCATTTAAATAAAAAATCAGTTTAAAATTTAAATTAAAAACGATTTTCGGGCTTTTTAATCTCATTTGTATATATTCGGTTACCGATAAAACGCACAGTATGATCGATCGTCCCGATTGCGGTTAATCGGGATAGTATTTTTCGATTGCCGACAAAACGCATAGTGTGATCCTAGCCTAACTAGTGACTACTAATGACTAATGAGTAACTTATTAAAAATTAAGATACTTATTAAATGAATAGTTTATATTATTATGACATAAATAGTTTATTATTCGGTAAATGCCATATAAAATACTTAAGAGCACTTCATAATTCGCTGTTCATTTGGAACACTTGAACGAACATTCCAATGTAAATAATTGAATTTTCGAGATTACCAAATTCAGCAACCCACGCATTAATATCTTCCATAGATTTTGCATCACATCTCAAATTGTCAACTTTAACAATCTTATGGTTAAATGATGTTGGATTAATCATATTTATTAAATAAATCTAAATAATATTTAAAAAAGAATTAATTTGAAAACATTCAACATTGTATATTGATAATTTTATAATGTTTTTAATTTTTAGCATTTTATAAACCGATCAAATGTATCTCTGGATTCTAGAAATTATTTGAATCTTAAAAGTAGCTGTATGTTTCTCTATATGTAATTTTAATTTTAACTTTAAAAACTATTATAACGTATTATTATTATTTTACATTATTTGAATTTTAAAAATGACTGTATATGACTTATGTATTACTAACCTCTGCCATAGGCGCACATAGGGGGGGGGGGGGGCCTGGGAGTGCTTAGCACCCCCAGTTTCCTGTAAAATTTATTTCAGTATTTTATCAATCATTTGAAAATTATTTCGATTCATTGAGTTGAAATTTTTTTTCCATTACTAATAGACAATATGTAGCCTATGAATTCACGATTAATAATGTATTGATTGTATTATATGAATGCACATTGCACTGTTCCAGTTTTCGTCTAAACGTTGAACATTAATAGCAATCATATAATAAAAATTTGTATTATCTAACAGAAAATTAAATCTTGTTTAAAATTAATTAGTGATTAGATATTATTATTATTATTATATATATAATATAAATACATTTTAATATTAATTATAATAGTAAAAAATTATTAAAATGCAATTTACGATGATATTAGGGGGGTGTGGGGGCAGCCCCCCATGGATCTGTTTACTGTAAATTATTCCAGTACCCCCTAAATTCACACCCAATGTGCGCCTATGACCTCTGCACGGTTCTGATTTGATTTGAGTATCTGAATAATCTTTTCATCTTCATCAGTAAATATTTTTTGTAAGTATTTTTTCTTTAGTATAAGATTATGAAAAAGTATTTAGAAATAATTTGACATGTGGGTTTCATTCAAGTGTTCCAAATATGCAAAAAATTATGTGTTCCTCAGTAGGTATTTACCGAATAATAAATTATTTATATCATAATAATATAAACTATTCATTTAATAGGTATCTTAATTCTTAACTCTTAAGTTCTAAAATTAATTTAAACATTAAAAAAAAAAACCTTGTATACTTAATGACTAATGAGAATTGTATAATGTTATCACACACGTAATACAGTCATTGAGAGCTTTCGATTTACTATGGGTCTTTAGCAATGTATGGTATGCTTTTATGCAAACGATGAGTGGACTCAGCACTAACTCGTTTGGCTTCTGGAGGAGATCAACATGGTTCTTTATTTGGCTAGGTGGGCCAACCACGGTCCCACACAACAGCAGGAGCTATGTGTCCTAGTGGCTCTTGACGTTCAAAATGCCTTCAACTCCACGCCTTGGGAGTATGTGGATAAAGCTCTTCGACGCAAAGGAATTCCTCGCTACCTAGCTAAAATTTTACAGTCGTACATGTAGAAACGTACGTTTACATTAAGAACATCTGATGGGATCAGCACCGACAAACCGGTCAAAGAAGATACCCGCAAGGGTCAATCCTTGGCCCTTGCACGCTGTGGAATGTTTTCTATAACGTTATCCTCAGGATGGATGTACCGGAAGAAGTTCAGCTTGTCGGGTTTGCTGACGATCTAGCTCTACTCGCTGTTGCACAGATATCAAACGCACCTAACCTGTAGTCAATCACACATTGGACGTAATTTATACCTATAGGCAGAGATGGGCAACTCAAAGTAACTAGCGGGCCACTTTTAAGTACTTTAAAATCTAGCGGACCGCAGTGCATAGCAGAAAGCAAAAAAAAAAAAAGTCCTTTAAATATACTAACATTTATTTTTTATCTTTATTTATTTATATTTACAATTATTATTTAATGTAATACTTGAGGATGAGGTTTTTTAATAAACAATTTAGTAAAATCCACTTCTATTTCTGTAGTTGAAACTCTTAGTAAATGTCCCAAAGTTTCATCTGTTAAACGATTTAATAATTTAGTTTCGGTTTAAAACTAGATAAGAATTTATATCCACAATCGAAAAATGTAATAAAATAAAATAAAATACAGATAAGCGCTAAAACTATATGAAGTAATTTGAAAATGTAGCACGGGCCAGATAAAAAGGTACGCGGGCCGCCAGTTGCCCATCCCTGCCTATAGGTTATACAGAGAGCTATCGCATTAAAAATTTAATTTAAACTAATCAAACTTAATCAATTTAAAATTGAGTTGTTTTTGAACCTGATTTATGAATTACTGTTTCAACTGTATTATTACCCCGAGTAGAGGAATTATGTAAAAAACACCAGTCTTAAATATCACATTAAATTTGTATTGTTTATTAAAAATAATAATTATATAAATATGACATTATGTATATACCTATATTATTATTATTTATTTAAGTGTGCAGTGAAATTTTTTAAAATGAACAAGTGTGTCGTTAAGTAAAAAAGGTTGGGATTCCCTGCTATAGTCTATAGATTAAAGAAGTATAGTTAAAATTTAAAATATGCTTGCCATTGCCCATTAATAATATTATCAACACTATCTTCATAAACGTATAAATTACTGTGTTAGAGTGTTATCAGATAACATTTATTATTATTATTTTCACACTTATTATTTGTATTGCTTATATTCAAGCAAAGCAAGATTATTCAAGAATTAAAATTTAAGATATAATAAGTGTATTATGTATTTAGTATTTATTTTAGTATAGTAAACGTTCTTGAATTTGAATTCCAGTGTAATGTTAGATAGTTATAACTTCTAAGTTAAACAAATTCTAATTAATTTGTAATCAGTTTTAATTTTGTAAAAACCGCTATTTTAAAATGCCGGCTCTTCGGAGTGCTGTTTGTGAAACCCTTTTAGGAGAACCTGATCAAGATGCTAACTCTGCTTTGATTGAACTCGACAAAGGCTTACGGTCCAGTCGTGTTGGTGAACAATGTGAGGCAATTGTACGGTTTCCTCGACTAATTGAAAAATATCCTTTTCCGATTCTTATTAATTCGTCATTTTTGAAGCTAGCCGATGTGTTTCGTCTCGGGAATAATTTTCTTCGACTTTGGGTGTTACGAGTATGTCAACAGACGGAAAAACACATTGACAAAATTTTAAATATTGACGAGTTTGTTCGTAGAATTTATAGCGTAATTCACTCCAATGACCCAGTTGCTAGAGGGTTGACCTTACGTACATTGGGCAGTGTTGCTCGTATTATACCAGAAAGAGGACAAGTACACCACAGTATACGTACAAGCTTAGATTCTCATAATGCTGTGGAAGTAGAATCTGCGATTTATGCGGCTGCACAATTTGCAGCCCAATCAAAATCATTTGCTGTAAGTATGTGCAGTAAAATTTCAAATATGATTAGAGGTATTTCAACTGATGTTGTTATGAAACTTGAACTAATTCCTATTTTAAAACATATGCATCATGATACAACCACTGCAACAATGGTCAGAACACTTTGTACTGATTTGCTAGAAAAATATCCAGCTCAGGACTTTGTACTCGTTACATTAAAAACTCTCAATCAATTAGCTTTGTCTATTTTAGTTGATGTACCAAAACAAATAGAATTACTCTTGAAATTTTTGAGCGAAGACAAGCGACCTTTAGTTTGCAAGTGTGCTATATCTGGTCTTTATCAAATTGCTAAAGAAGGCGCACATTTTTGGTCTGAACAAACCATTAACAACTTGGTCGGTTTTTGTGAGAGCTTAAATGTTGACAATAGTTTGAAAGCAGACGCTATAAGTGTATTCATACCATTAACGAAATCTCCAGCTATATGTCAATTTCATTACAGTTCAGACAGTCTACTTATGAAAATGTGCATTGCTGAATCAAGTTCATTGCATCAGTCAGTTGCTGGAAATGCAGTTAAAGTATTGACAAATGTTGCATGTTATTGTTTTGAGGAGGAAATTATGTCAGAAAATGATGCCAATATTTTAAAAGTTTGCATACAAAGCTATCTTTTGTCTGTCCTATCAGCTGGACAACAACAGATTGATGATACCAGAAATGTAAGTAATGAAGAACAATCCCTTATTCAAAGTGTTTTAAAGATGGATAACATTGATGAGCCAATGGATGTAGATGATGTTAATCATGAAAATTTAGATAAAGCATCAAACTATCTTCGTGATGGTTTAAGATCATCTGTTATGTTATGCAAGGCAAATAAAAATCTGATCCCAGATTTTGTTTCACTTGTTGTTAGACCATTGCAACATGATGGATTTGAATTAAATCCATTGATATGTGAAGCTATTGCTGCATTTGGAGGTATACTACCTGGTACTTTACAACCATTTTTATCAGTTTTTATAAAACAATTGACAAATTTAAATAAAAATGAAAATCAAGAGTCTATAACTACTAAGGTTTTGTTATGTACTGTGATTTTTCAAGCCATTGCTGGCTATGATGAACACAATGATGTGAAAAGAGTAATTAATGATGTAATAAAAAATACTGATTTATGGACCAATTATAAAATTGGTCGAGCAGCTGTTAGATATGGTCATTTTAATATAAGTTCTAAAATTTTTGGTAGCTTAAATAATCGTGTTGGTTCAGAACAAATGCATTTTTGGTTAGCTGCATTAGAAACCATTAGTATAGCAGAATCTCAGTTAAAATCTTCAAACCCTTCAAAATTATTGAGTAACTTAGGGCAATCAATATCAACTTATTACAGAGCAATTGCTGCATTAAAAGCTGCATCATTAATGCTTATTTTCCAAACAGAGTATACACGTTTGCGTTGTGAACTATTGCAATGTTTCATGCGTTTATTATCTACGTGCAATAGTTTTTGCACTACACCTCCGCCAGCTATTGCTTCAGCAATTGTTCAAGCTACTAGAGATGAAATGCAAAGTTATGGACATATTACAAATCAATTAAGAAAAAGAGCAAAAGAATTTAAGGGATGCGCAGATTTATATTGGAGATTATACCAATCGGCATTTGATGCTGACCCTAATACATTATATCACTTACAGCTTTTACAGCATTTGTGTTTGTTGATGGCTCATAATATTGAATCAGTAGCAGTTCCAAATAAATGTGAAAGTCCAGTCTTAGATTCTGAGTTGGAAAAAGAAGGCTCTTTAGAAATACAGTTAATTGTCAAATGTAGACAAGAACTCTTAGAAATAATGAGCATGGTAAAAGAAAAAGCAATTACTCATAAACATATACAATCTCTCAAAAAACAAGCTTCTCTTTTGGTAACTACACCCATGTGTTTTCCTCGTTATTTTTTTCAAACTTTACAATCTACAACAATAACATTGGCTGTATCACCTCAGCCTAGAGTTAACGGAGAACCAATTACAGTAAATATGGGAAGTAATTTTGTAGTTAAAGTTGAGGGAGTTGTACAACATGGAACAAAAGCTAAATTTCGCAAAGTTGATGGAATTCAGTTAACAATAACTTCACAATTAGTGACCAGAAATCATGAAACTAGAACAACTGAAGGAAATTTGATGTTAATGCAAACAGTTAAACCACATAAAGACTTCTTTGCTTCAGAATTTTGTCTGAGTTTTAATCAAGGAAGTCAACATCAAGTACATATTGAAGCAGCTCTAATTGATGATACTGCATCTGTTTGGCAAATTGGAGTGCGTAACACATTAACTATAAAATGTCATTAATTTAAAAACAAAATATTTTTTTTATATATTTTTGACTAATTATACACCTTCACCTAGTTTAATAAATTTAATATTTCTAACACATTACAATCTATTTTCTCGTTCTGATTTACTATCTTGAAGCAAAAATGCTGGCCAATATTTAACTTCTCCAGTATTTTCATCTAGATATTTAAGATTTGGATTAGGGTGACTTTTTGACTTGTTACCAAGAGATGTATATCTATAAAATAAAATGTATTTAGTTATATAATTTACATTATAAAATAATTTTTTTAAGTTGCTCACCCTTTATCATACAAGCTACAATATGGTATAGAGAATTGTCTCAAAAATGACCAAATGTTATTATAATTCCAATGCAATAAAGGTTGTACTCGTACTAATACAGGCCAGCCTGGATCAGTTTTCTAAAACAATAACATATATAATTCATAGGATTGTCGAAGTTTTATATTTTAGTGTAACAATAGTAATTAATTACAATAAAATGAAATAGGTACTTTGGTGTCAATATTATTATTTAAAAACCTCAATCTAAATTAGATTTTTTAACTTTATTAATAAAAGAAACATTTTTTTTTTTTTTGTATTATTTATTTTATTTGTATGATATTATTAAGTTATTTAAGTATTCATTATAAAATAGTATTATATACAATATTGTTAAAAATAATTGAGTAAATCAGAAATATAATTAAAATACTACAAAATAAGAATCATTATTAAATACATTTTATTCATAATACCAGATTAAAAAGTGAAAAGCATACCTACTAAAATGTATGCAATATTATACCATTAATTAAAAAATGTTTTACAATTAATAAAAAATATACTCATCTATGACCACAAAAAATACATAAACTAGTATCTAGTAGGTCCTCAAATATCTTACAATACTGATGTTTGAATATGATTCGAATACTATGTGATATTATTCATAAATAATCAAAACTCAATAGTTTCCTATATTTATAAATATTGTTATTCAATTAAATATTTTAAAATTATATTTTATAAAAACACTTCTGATTTCTTAAAATTGCATATATGTATTTTAGTAATAAATAATTATTATAAAAATGTAATATAATTGAATTAGTTAAATATTTTTAAGTAAAGTGTACCATTTTACTCGTGTTTAAATAATAGTATATTATTAAACATAATTTTATTTTACTTGAAAGAACTGCAATTTTGTAGAACCTGTATCAGATTGTCTTGTACCTATGATAGATGCACAAAATTGAGGATTTTCTTTCAAAAATTCTTGAAGACCAGATTTAAGTTCACCTTTGATTATTGTCAAGTCTAAATTAAATCTAAAAATAATGATAAAAACAAAATTAAACTATTTAATAGTAAAAAATAATTTGTTTTTTAAACTAATATATTATATTTTATTGAGCTATTTATTTAATTATTATTGTTATTGAAGGTTGTTATTTAAATTAACCTGTTTATTGTGGATTGTACATAGTCTTCTTCTTCAGAAAATTGGTCTTCTGATTGAAAATAAACAGCTTTGATTCGTTCATTATATTTTAATTCATCGAGCACAGCTTGTAACAAGTATAATAAAACAACACAATCTTTTCCACCATTAAAGCTCAAAAATATGTTTTGCATAGTAAATTTGTCAATACTTTCTTTTATTACCTATAAACATATTTATTTATAATTTATGCTAAATTACATTTTTATAAAAATATAACTATAGATACCTGTATTGCTTCTATAATACACCGGCCTAGAGGTAAATGTGTATGTGTTTGAAATCTCCTAATATCTTCAAAATTTACTGAATTTACTATATAATGTGGATATATAAGTGTATTATCTGGTAATTTACTAACTAAAAATCGTTCAAACTGGTTGATTACACTTTCATTATTACAATAGATTCCGAAAGAATCTGTATAGACAATACAATCAAATGTATCACAGCTATTTGTTTTTAATATTTCATCCTTTATTACTTTTAGAGTTTTAATGATTAAATCTTTACAATGAGAATTAAAATAAATAATTCGTTTAAACACATATTTGAACTCGGGGTCAGGTATATTTTCCATTATTGTCATCTTTTCATAAACATTTTAAATTGATTTTTGAACATTCTTCAACATGCAACAGTTTTTAGTTCTATAAATAAATATAAATATCAATACATTATTTTGTTCAATTAATACTAATAAAAATATTTAGTTATATAATTTAATATCTTATCGTAATTATAGACGTTAAATACTTAGAGTTAAAATTTTTGTTAATAACTTTATTTAACTCAAAAACTGATATTCATGAATTGAATTTTGGGATTTAGTTACTTGTTTTGTTTTATTTTTATTTGACATAAAATGTGGCAGTGCTATGGAAGTATGAAATATAAAATTTAAGTGTTTATTTTTTGATGCTTATTTCTAGTTTTTCTATTTTTTTTTTCTAATGAGAGATGGAAGCTAATTTATTTATTTAGTCATACAAAAATACTCTCAGCACAGATACAAAAGTCTAATAGAAAAAGAGTTTATGGTTTTCGAGATTGCTCTTTTGCCTACTTTTAATATTTTTTAGTGTTTATAGTTAAAATTTGTTATTAATATAAATTATTATAAATGTTATTTATAAATACTCATTTTAATGGTTATAGGTGCTTTAAGTTCTGAATTATTTTTATAAATAATAACTATCAAAAATGATTATAAATAACTAAATAATAAATCAAATTTGTAGTAACACTACTTTTAGAGGACTTATTATAGACAATAATTTCAATATCAACATATAAATAATCATTACCAAACAATTTAATGTATACCAAACTATTTACATAGTAAATATTAAAGAAAAAGCCTGTTTTAGCACAACTGACTTAGAATACAGTAAAAATAAAATAAATTAGGTATTTATAAATAAGTTAAGAAAATACAACAATATTATTATTTAATAAGAAATTATATTTTATTTTTATTAATAGATATAATTAAATATAATAATATTATAGGAATATTACAAATATTATGAATCCTCTTTGTTCTTTTTAACACTATCATCAATTTTAATTTCATTTAATTTTCTTTTTTTAATGCTTTCAGATTTACAAATTATGTCCTTCCTCATTTGAAATGTAATTCGAACCATTTCTTTATTAGGTGCTACATTTCTGACTCTTATAATTTCTTGAATATCATCATTATTGACATTACTAAAGTATTCTTCCATTATTGATTTTAGGCCTTCTTCATAATTTTTATCAGTTTTTACAAACGTATAAACATGTAAAATTGGTAGAGAATTATCAGATATTTCTTCCCATTCAAATAAATTATTAAAATACTTTATAAAGTCAACAGCAATTGCTGGTAAATTCATTGTCACATGTATTTTATTTTCTGAAGTAATTGTCTTTGACCATGAAATGTAATGTGTCTTTAAATCTTCTTGAATAAATTTACTCCCATCTTTATTGATAATTGTTAAAAGTTCATCTTTAATACGATTCTTTTTTTTATTTATTTCTAACCATTTACAGCTATTAGGATTCAAATCATTAGCTAATACTATACATCCCAATTTTGCAGCCGGTACGGAAAATGGTCCTATTCCAGCAAACACATCATATAAAATATCACCTGATTTTAATTTTTGCAAAATACGTTCATGTTCAGTACATAGTCTTGGATTCCAATAAACTTCTGAAAAATCTAGGTCAAATAAGCATTTATTTTCTTTAATTGTAGTTTTTAAATCAGATGAACCATAAATAATTTCATATTCAAAGTTTCTATACACATTATTTATATTGTCAATTTTGTTCACTACACTTTTACACCCCTTTAGTTTATCACTAAGTACTCGACCAATAATATCCTTATAATCCAACAACTCTGGTTTTAAATTCACATGTATAATTGATCCAATTGCTGAATAACTTGATAACATAGATTTTTCAGGCAAGACTGCCTTAAGTATTTCATCATGATTCCAATTATTATAGCCCACCTCAATTTGTACATATTTTAAATTTTTAGTGGAAATAAAGGTTAAGTTTAGATCTTCACACGAAGAAAATTTGGCTGGATCAAGATAAAAAACACATTCAGAATCATTAGAGCCATTACGAATAGGCTTGAAGTTGTTTAGCTTAATAATATATTTTTTTAATACTTTATTAGCACTTTCAACATAATTTTTATTTAATACTATAACAGGTACAGTTACAGGTTTTGTGAATTTATCAATTTTAAAAACTTTCATACCTCGTACTTCATCTGGTGGCAATAATGCGTTCATAATAGTTTTGTTTGATCGAATATATTTGCTTATAAAATGACGTAGTGATTGACGACAAGTTAAATTCATCAAATTTAAATCTACTAACTAAAATAAAATAACACATTAAAAAAAAAAAAAAAATGTATTAAAAATACAAGTGATCTTACCTCATCAAGTAAGCATATCTACAGAATTTAGGATGTATACTATGATATTGAATGTGATGAAGGCAATACAAAAATAAATATTATTGGTTAAATTTGGCAAATAGCAATACAGATTTAGTTAATAATATTAACTATTACGCATGTATAAAAATATTGTTATTTAAAAGTGTTGGTGTTCTACTTCCTCAATTCACATAACTACATAACCACATTTAGCATGCATATTGCATAGAATCAGTTATCAGTGTTAATACTATTTTTGTGATAACTCTTATCGGCGGTCCAGTTTGCAATGTTTGCATACCGCGTAAAGATATTGTTTTCAATTTTGTAGAAGGGAATAGGGATAATTGTGAGACTTTAGATTGTAGGCTACAACATAGGATAATTATTAATGATAATTTAATTACTAATTAGCAATTAGTAATCATTACACGGATTACAACAACGATAGAATAAATTAAACTTGATAAACTTAAATTAACTAAAATATGTGTACCTAAAGAATAATTTATGTTGTATTACTTGCGTATTTCTATTTTCTAGATGTAGTCGGTAATAAATGAAGAAAGTATTAAATTTTTACATTAATGAAACATAGGTGTTAGTGCTTGTGTGAATCATGGTTTTTGTATAGTTAAATCATATTTATAAATGTAATTAATATGTATCTATTTAATTTACTAGGTAATATTTTAGATACCTAATTGTTGGTACTTCGCATATCCAAATTTTAAATTATGATCAAGAAATATTAAAGCTATTTTTGTTGCAATATTAGCTTATCGCTCAATTCTTACCCTCACTTACTAGCTGCTCGTTATTTATAAAACTTTAACAATAGGTAATTAATAATTATTATCAGTTTCATGTAGTATAGATATTAAGGGTCGGGCCACACTTGGTGGTTGAACCGCCCAATTACCGTTCAAATATACGCGGTTATACCAAAATATTGGGTGATTGATAAATTATTATAATTAAAATTTAGTAATCTGAGTGTCTTTAACACGAAAGGTTGGTCAACAGTATAAGTAATATAACATATTAGCTATCTGTACGAAATTAAAATAAACCACGATTAGCTAGTTCGGGTTTTGTGTATAGAAGAAGTACTTGGTGTGTTACAAGATATTGTGCAAAGGCCACAAAGAAAATACTGGGTTCATCCAATAAACGATGATAGGGAAACAAGTGGACGCTTTTTAAAGTTTTATAACGATATAAGATTATATCCGGAAATGTTTTTCACATATTATCGTATATCAATCAAATCATTTTACGAGTTATTTAAAACAGTACCTACGTGACCATATATCAAAGAAATGTACACCTTGGCGGAATCCTTTGAGTGCAGAGCAAAGATTAACCATTACACTCAGGTAAAAACAATTTTAACTTTAAAATTATACCACTCTACCACAATCAGTGAAATTTTGTACTCAAAATTTTGGCATAATTTCCATAATGTTAATCATGACGATATAACCGTATACCTATTGTACCGTTTCCACCACAGCCAAAGTAAAACTACAGTAAAGATTAAACACTAATATACCTAGTAGTGGAACCTCTGAAAGCCGAAAGCACAAATCACTACATTAAACATTTTTAGTAAAGTAGGGTAGTACGTATAAATGAGGAAGATAGAGGGTTTGCCTTTGAGCGACTGACAGCGTAAATTTAGCGATAATGGCAATAACTTCTATGAACTACGGTAATTCACGATTCCGTACAAAATTATTTTGCGATGTAACCAGAAAATATCTCTTTTAAAATAATTGTATTTATTTAAATAATAAATGATAATTATTAACAATTATTTAAATCTAACTATTCTATCATTTGTGTTACAAGTTGGTCTTCGATATCAACGATATCAAGGGGAAAATTGTTATAAAATTTATAACTAGGTATAATAATAGTCTTATAAATTTTATTGTTTTAATTAATTTGTAATTTTAAATATCAAATCATCGTTATTATTATTTTTATTTTTTTTTTTGTATTTAAAAATTATTCTACTCTTATTCACTTTTGTCCCAATAATTACGTAGTTGTTGGCTACTTGTAGTAAACAATATTTTTGAATGTTTTTGAACCCACTCTCTCCGCTCCACGCAAAATAGGTATTGTTTTTGTGTGTAAGTGACTGGGTACACCTATTGCCATTGGTGCGTCCTACGCACATCATTAAAATAAAATGTTTAGGTAGGTAAAACTCTATTCATAACTAATGTATTATAATATATAGTATCAGGGTATCTATATGAATACTTTACTTATGTAGTCTGTAGGTACTCTGTAAGTAGGTTGTAGGTACATGCTAAATTGTTGAAGATGATTTTTAAACTATAGTAAAGTTGTAGGTTGAATAGAAAGGTTTAATTTCCCATACATGTCATAATAAATACAACGTATAGGTACATGAGTACAAAAAATAAAAATAAAAATGAATCTGTGGGATCATATTTTATTATATTATTAATTATTATTAAATAGACAAACAGGTTCGTACACGAAATACGAATTAAGGTAGTATACTATCTTAGTTCATGGATTCGTTTTATCATATTAATTATAAATACAAATATATAATCAATGATATTACTGTGTAACTGATAGTAGAAATCAATAAATATTGTATTCATTACTATTTAACTGTTAGTCTCCTACTTTATATACAAACCATCAGGACGAAAGATCTTTTTATCTAAATTTATATTTATTTTTAAGATAGGTAAGCTTTAATGCCCAAATAATATTTACTTAAAATTATTTAAGTTTATAAATTAATGTTCGCACAATGATGTTTTAATCAAAGTATAGGCGTTTTTGACTTGGGTTTTAGCCATCGGGCCTTAATTTTATTTTAATATATTTACAATTATCTATAACAAAAATAAAATAAGATAGTATATAACTATAAGTATTAAAGAAAAAGAAAAAATGTGTCTGTTAAAGTCTAGAAGTACAATTTTAACTTTTCCTTCCCTAATCGAGCTTTAAATACACCTCTGAATGATTTTTTTCGACAACTAATTAAACAATGTACTCAATATCTTATTATTGGTTTTTATTTTTTAAGAGTAGTTTCTTTTGAAAAAACGATAAATCTATTATAATATATTAATGTAGGTAAGCTATAAGTATACCAATGAATAAATATTTCTTATTTTAATTTCAAATTGAATAGTTTCCCAGAGGTAGCTCCAGAGACTTGGTTATGAGAGGCTAAATCATAAAAAGCATAATAATATCAAATTATACTATATTTTGTATCAATATACAATATACTTCATTGTTAATACTATAGATAATAAGTACATACGACATACCCCTCTATTTACATATTTTTATATGTCTATAATAGTCAATTATATATATAATGTTTTTTTTTTGTGTAATTTTTTTTCTTAAAAATATACAATATTTTAGAAATACAAGCTTGGGGTGACGGTTTTTAGCCTCCTCTTAGAAGCCACCTCTGTAGTTTCCAATTAATTTGATTTATTTAAAAGGAAATTTAAAAGCAAGGATTATGAAAACTTCATATTTCATTAATCATTACCGCACCATCTAAAAAAATCCATCATAATGATAAAATTATAATAACGTATTTAAATTAAAATAATTTAATATATTATTACTACTTTATGTTTAAATTGTTAAATTCAGAAATAAAAACTGTACCTATATAATGTATAGGTTTTAGGTAGGTATTGGCTGGTGGCTATAATTTTTGTAATAATTATTTATCCTTAATATTTGAAAAAAATTGTATTGAATACTTCTACTTAATTTTAATTAGGTACACAACTTTACTTCATTAAAATAATTACGATATTTATTATACAATGTAGTATTACTAGTATTATGCATATTGTATACCATTATAACTACGTATATATAATTTCCTTGTTAAAGTAGATTAATAATGATATATGAATATGTTATTTTAAGTATATGGCTAGCATCAATTAGTATTTAATATTATACTAATTAAATTACATAATTTTTTTGCCTTTTCACTTAGATACCTATTTAGTATCTATACAATATTTGGTTGTATTGGTTAAATAATTTTAATTCTATGGTAAACTATATTATTATTGTTCTTATTTATAACCACAATATTAATAAACAATAAATAAACAAAGTATATAATTTGAAATATATTTTCAACAAATAAAGTATTTTGATGAAGCTGTCACAAAAAGTAAGTTTGTGATATGGAACAGAGAGTTGTTAATACGTAGTACGCAGTTTTACAGGATAATTGATCAATTATATCATGCCAAATATACCACAGACTTATATTATACATTTTATAGCTAAATAAATTTGTACAAATATACTACTAAATAAGTTGATTTTTCGTAATTAAATTTGAAAGCTTTAGGTATATTTAATTATTTTAGTTTATAATAATAATAAGAATTAAAATATTTAGTAGGTACTAGGACACTAGGCACCTACTCATACAATATATATATATATATACTTATGAAACAAAAAAAAAACTACAGTAAATATAAGATATAGTCATATGGATATGGAAATATGATATCTTAAGGTTGATCGAAGCACTCTGTAGATTGTACGCCTCCATAGAATGTTTATTTAATATATATATATAGTCTATATAGTGTACAGACATTCACTTTCGTCGAGGTCTCCAAACAATGTGTATATTATTGTAGTCACAAACATAAAGTAACTATTAACTTTTATATGTTAATTATTTAGTATTAATGAACGGTTCGTTTTTATGATAAAACAAAGATTTAGCCATAATTTAAAAAACACGAAATTTTTTTATGTATAAAGAACGTTTTCAAATTTAAAAAAAAAATTATTTTTTTTTTGTTTGAGGGTGCGAAGAGGGTGTTTTGCTTTATAGTATAATACTAATAACGCTACGAGTAGTACAGTAATATAGTGATATACATTTTTTGTTATGGCAAATTAGTGCAAAACGTAACAATTTTGTATATTATTATACAGTCCGATATCGACAACATAATGTATCATTACACTTTCCAGACGACTGCGGCAGCGCGTTACGTTTTTTCGCAAAAGAACCAGTGAAAAATAATGCGCATGCATAAGTCTGTTGCAATCGCAATACAATACGACTATATACAATTTGTGTACGTTTTTTTACACGAATATTATTATTCAGTAAAATATACTGCAATACATATTATTATTATTATTATAGGCGCGT